AATGTGTTGGCCTTCTTCAGAACTTTGAAGAAGGGCAGGGATCTCTCAGCTGACCGGGAAAGGAACCGGCTGAGGGCCGCTAAACGACCGGTCAACTTTTGAACATCCCTAACGGAGGTAGGGGCTTGCATTTCAGTGATGGCCCGGATTTTCTCTGGGTTGGGCTCTATCCCTCTCTTGGTCACCATGAATCCCAAGAACTTCCCGGTACGAACCGCGAAGACGCATTTCTTAGGATTCAGCCGGAGGTTGTACCTTGCCATGATATCGAACGTGGCTCGCATATCAGCCGGGTGGTTCAGAGATATCTGGCTTTTGATCAGCATGTCGTCGACGTATGCCTCCATGGTCTTTCCCAGTAATGGCTTGAAGAGTTTGTTCACCATGCGCTGGTAGGTTGCCCCCGAGTTCTTCAAGCCAAACGCCATTACCCGGTAGCAGTAGGTTCCTTCAGGCGTGAGGAACGACATCTTCTCTTCATCTTCTTTGGCCATGTAGATTTGGTGTTAACCCTTGAAGGCGTCCATGAAACTTAGGAGTTCGCACCCCGCAGTTTCGTCCACCATTTGATCTGGACTGGGAAGGGGGTATGAATCCATCGGACAAGCCTTGTTCAAGTCCGTATAATGCACACACATTCTCCACGTGTCGCCCTTGGGAGCAAGGACAACGTTGGCCAGCCAATCTGGGTATTTGACTTCCCGGATGTGACCAACACTGAGGAGGTCCTTCACTTCCTTCTTGACGAACTCTCGCCGGTCACTGGCCAGGTACCGCTTCTTCTGTCGTACCGGTCGACTTCCCTCCCTCACGGCCAGCCGGTGGCAGATAACAGAGCGATCTATCCCGGGCATATCCGCCACGCTTCATGCGAATATGCCCGCGTATTCTTGGAGGACCCGTGTAATCTGTGCCTTGAGATCCTCGGGGAGATTTGCTCCAATTCTGACCATCCTCGAAGAATCACTCGGGTAAAGTTCGATTTCTACCGTCTCGGCCTCGGGCTCCAATTTCTCCTGGGTCTCTCCCTTTGTGATTTCTTGGGAGATGACATTGACCCCCTTGGTCATCTTCTTGACTGCCCGAGCATAGCACTCCCGGGCGTTCCTCTGGTCGCCCTTCACCTCACCCACACCACCTGAAGTGTGGAATTTCATGCATAGGTGAGGCATGGAAATCAACGCCCCGACTCTATTGATGCCTGGCCTTCCAAGAATTGCGTTGTGGACCCATTTGATGTCCACAACTATGAACCGCATCTTCTTCCACACGGTCTTTTCCCCTGATCCTAGTTCGACCGGTAGAACTATGGATCCTTCAGCTTCAACGGTGTCCCCCGTGAAGCCTGAGAGAGGGGTTTTGAGGGGTTCAAGTTGTGTTCGACACAACCTGAGTTTTTGGAAGGTCTCCAGGTATAAGATGTTGACACTGCTGCCGGTGTCAACAAGTACCCGAGCGACATCCACCCCATTAATGTCCATGGTGATGACCAATGGATCATTGTGATCTTCACCGGTAGGAGGGAGATCCCGGTAAGTAAAGACGATCGGCTCCCTCCTAGTATGTTTACGCCTGGGCGGTTCAGCACTTACCTCTCCAACGTAAATGCTCCGGACCCAGTTCTTCCGCTGCGCGGCTCAATCTCCACCCTCGGGTCCGCCGAAGATCATGCCGATGTGCTCTTTTTCGGGAGCAGGTTGCCGCTCCCTTGGCCGGCTATTCCTCCGCCGGTCGTTGTCCCGGTCATTCCCTGGGGCAGCTGGCCTAACCCACTGATGACTCTTCTCTTGGGCTTTCTGTAAGTAATCCTTGCCCAGCTCTCCACTGTCGATCATCTGCCGGATTACTCCCTTAACACTCTTACATTCGGAGGTGTTATGGGAATCTGACCTGTGGTACGAACAATAGGTGCCCGACCACTGCCGCCCTACTTGACCGGTAGGGTTTTCTGGAGGAATGACCGGTGCTTTCCGGACTTCTTGGCATTCCTCCGTATTGACCACTCGGATGACCGGGTCATAGTGGTGCCTCGGCCGGCTAGGTCCCGGTGCTTCTTCCTTCTTGACTTGCACCGGCTTGGACTTGTGACCATGCTCAGCTTCCCTCTTTGCCCGGAGTTGAGTTTCAGCCTCAGCAAACTCCCACGCAGTATGGTAGGCCTCTTGGTACGTGGCTGGGGGTTTCCGGCAGAACTCCTTGTATAGTTCCCCAGCACGCAAGCCATTCAAGAGGAGGGA